CACCCTTGGCAGAGATGGGAAGGGCTCAGGACTCTGCTGTTCCCTCCACAAGCAGCAGCTCTGGGGAGGGCTCAGGGGGGCAATATGGAAAATGGGATTCCTTTGGGAGAGCACCCACCCAACCCAGCTGGGGAAGAGGGACAGGGATGGCTCATCCTGGTGGGAAGGGGCAGTTCCTCAGCCTCAGTTCAGACTCTGTACCTGGATTTGCTGCACCATGTTGCGGAGCTGGACTAGGAATTCCTTTGCCTCCTTGGCTCTGTCTGACAATCCATTGAGGGCCTGGGAGAGCTGGCTCTGCAGGGGAAACAAAGAGCAAAGTCAGTTCCATGTCCAGGACTCATCCATCCACCAATACAAACACAATTAACTCCACAGAGCTCCCTCTCAAGCACTCTAAGTAGTGCAACTAACAAGCAGAAACAGAGCTTGTAATCAGGAAAATCCATGGAAACAAGGGAAAAACAAGGAAAAACCAAAAGCAACATGCAGAACTTCAGTTATCCTCACAGACCCTGCCCTGCTGACAGGCAAGCAATGGAAATGGGGGCAGATTCTCCCACCACACCCAGATCAGAGCTCCTGCAATGCAGCTGATGGACCGGACACCCATAAGACGTAAGAGACCAGAAGGAGATTTAATTTGATCTGAAATGGGCCCAAGAGATAGGATTGTGTGGGATTTGGGCTGGGGATGGGCTGCAGCCCAGCACTGCCTCCAGCATCCCACCAGGGTGTGCCTGAGTGCAAGGGGAGGAAAAGGAGGGTGAGCCATCACACCCTGGCGGAAATGGATTTATAGAAAATTAAAGCTTGACAGAAAGATTAAATAGTATGTATCTGTATGAAAACTCTGAGATGAGAAATGCTGATTTAGAAATGTTATGGAATAGGGTGGAGATTGTTGAGAGAGAAATGGAGCTAGAAACAAATTTCAAAGCATGGCTTTGCTAAAAAGACTAGATACTTTGGAGAAACAGAACTGTGGAAGACGTATTGTAGTAAGACTCACAAGGGGTAATTTTAGATGATTGCCTTTAAGGCATTTACAACATGGTGTGACAAAAACTGATAGGCCAAGAAACACTTATAAAGAATTGTAATTAAGAAATCATTGTCTTCTAAATGTGATGGTGTGAATTATAGCATCTGTGCTGTCTCACCCTTCTAATGAGACTGAAAATGGAATAAAAGTTTTAAAACACCTCTCAGTTACCCCATCTCTAGGTCAGAAAAAAAACATTATCCAAGAGAAGGTAAAGGCTTTCCTGCAAAACACTGACTGTTCCTTCTCCCTTTGGAGTGGGAACACTCCCACAGCCCTGGCCCTCGGCAGCAGAACGTGGTAATAACAATCATTATGTTCATCAAATGCTTTTTCTTTTTCATTTCCATGGCTCTTTCTGAACACTCACTCAGGAATCTTCCCCATCTCCCCCTTCTGCCATCACAGCAGTGTGTGGATTATCTCAAGAGCTGCCCAAACCACCCTCAGCAATTTTCCTCTGGGAGAGATTTTGCCTCTTTTGTGGGCAGCAAATTGGCTGCAGACACCCCGTGGGTTTGGGGGGTGATCCTTCTTTGAGGCAGACACAGAAAGGTGCTGGGATGGTGGTTGGCGTGCCCAAATCTCCAAAATTCTGCTGTGCCCATCCTTCCAGGGATCAGGGTGTGGGCATTGGGCTGTGCCCCCCTGGATGCCAGTGTGGGAGATGGGAAATGAGATGGGAGAGGGAAGAAATGTCACATTCACATTGCCTGGAAAAATCCCTTTGCCCAGGATTCCCAGCTCCTGGGAAGCTGAGAAGCCTCAGAGAAAAAGGAAAACAATAATTATTTCATTTGCTTCTCCTGTGTTTTGCTCATGTGGAATGTGTTTGGAGTTTATTTATCCAACAAGTGATTATTTCATTGGTTTCATGTGAATTGTTTTGACTTAATGATCAATCAAGGTCAAGCTGTGTGGAGGTTCTAGAAAGAGTCATGAGTTTTCATTATTATCTTTTTAGCCTTCCGTAAGTATCCTTTCTGTATTCTTTAGTATAGTATTTAGAATAGAATAGAATAGAATAGAATAGAATAGAATAGAACATAATATACATGTGACATATTATATAATATATTATATAAATATTATATAACATATAATATCTCTATAATATTATATACAATAAATAAAATTTAATACATTTATCTACATATAATATATTTATATAAATTTATTGTTTTATATATTTATACATAATAATAGATATATTTTAATATATATAATATCTTAAAATAATAAATTAGGCTTCTGAGAATATGGAGTCAGATTCATCACTCCTTCCTTTGTCTGGGAACCCCACAAACACAACAGAGAAGGGCTCTGCTCTTTCTGGGCTGAAATAAAGAGTAAAACCCAGCTCTGCTGCTGAGGAGAGCCGCGGCAGCCCTTTAATGGCCCAGAAATAATGGCCCAGAAAATGACCTCGCTGCTGCTTCCCGGGGAGACTTTAATCTCACCCGAGTGCTTCCTGCATTCCCTTTGTAATTTATCCTTGGGATGTGGAGCTAATCAGGGAATGCATCTCTAATGGAAATGGGATTGCTAACTCAGCTCAGCGGTTCCCCCGTCCCTCCTCCCTCCCCAGGCAAGGTCAGGGCCCTGCAGGGACCACCAGCCCTGCCTCTTGCAGAGCCTCCATCACCTTCCTCAGCCCTGCTGGGCCTGGGAGATGCCCCAAGCCCTGCAAGGTGTTTTGCTGAGAGCTGTGCTGCTGCAGGGCCCAGGTCCCTGATAACACAGGCAATTAATGGAAAAAATCAGCAGGGGTTGGTTGTGTTTACAAGCTCCTCATTAAAATTGCAGCATGTTGGGTTTGTTTTTTTTTTTTTTTTCCTTTAATGTCTTTAAAAGGCTTTTTTTTTTTTTCCCATTAACATGAATTTCATAAAGGATATCTTTAGATCAGCATAATTCTTTGAGGCTTTCCTGATGGGAAAGCTTTTTAAAAGTGGGCTTAAAATTTCATAAGAGCTCTGTGGTGCCTGTGTGTGTTGTCCATGGAGGTTCCTTCACCCCAGGCACCCCCAGCCTTGCAGCACAGCAGCTCCCCTGGTGCAGCAAGCTTGGAGCCACCACAAAAAGATGGTCCACGAGCTCAGAGCATCCCTGTCAGCTCAGCCCTTCCCTCTGCTCCAGGTACTCCTGATGCCTCCAGGGCGAGTGAGGGAAGAGCATTATCTAGTCTGAAAGGCATAATTTTCCCAGAATTGTAAGAATTTTAAGGATTTCCAGAATTTTCAGGACAGTTCCAAAACATGGGTGGGCACAGGAGCTCCAAGGTTTGGCTTTTCCCCAGCAGAG